CTGTTTCCTTTTCTGAAAAAAGAATGTGTAGAAAACAAGAGATAATTGCACCTACTTACCTCAATGATTTAATACATATAAAGCTCTTAGCACAGTGCTTGGCCTATAGTGATACTCAGTATTGTTAGCTGTGGCTATAACAGATTATACACCCATTTGAGACTGAAACGCACTGTGATGAAAGGGCAGGAACGAGAGTAAGATGGGTATGAGAGGGAGGCAGCAACAATTTTAGCACCTTCATGCAAAGGACACACACCCTAGCACCATGTGGGGCAGATACAAAACTAGAGTCACGAGGGAAAACAGGAGCACGTGGCCAAGCACATGGGACCCACTAAATATTGTCCCCAGCTTAGGCCGGGCATGGGTGGACTGCGTGCCCTATGACCAAAGCTCCAGGAGAGAGAAATCTGTCCCTAGGAAGCTCCACCTGTTTAGAGGGCCTGGGGACACGCAGAGAAAAGCTCTTGCTGGAGAAGAAAGAGGGCAGCAACCAGAATCCAGAGGCTGGCACCAGCCGTTCCGTCGCCCATGTCCTCTCTCCTCTCCCGGGCTCTTAAGGCTTCCTAACCACAAGGTCCTCACAGACTCCGGTTGCCACCAGGATTAGTGGTTTCCATAGCATTGTCTGGAAGCGAGGCATCAACAAGGTCCCCTCGGTTATGTCAGCTGGAGGGTGGACGTTTCCACCAGCAGGAGCAGCTGGCACTGAGTCCCTGCCTGGGGCAATCCCGCAGAGCCACTTCAGGCGGTCACGTCCAAGCTCAGAAAGAGGACAGGGATTCACATACGCCCGTTCGCCCTCACCCATCTCCCCGGAAGAGATGTGCTCACACCTTTCCAGTCGAGGCCTCTGTCCCTCACCCTTCAGGGATGAGCCAGACGGGCTCTCCTCCCCCCGAGTGGTGACTTCTGTAGGGATCAAGGTGCCACCACTGGTCGTCAGAAATGATCTTGGGGGCAGAGAAGGGGGCTGTAGAAGAGCTCAAGGAAAAGTCAGGGTCCAAGTTCATGTCTAGTCAGGTGGCCTCAGTCTGAGCAATAGGAACCATCAGATGATGTAACATAAATTTCCATCTATCCACTGAGGTCAAAGCAGGTACAAAAACAAGAGGGACATAGAGGGCCAGCCCGGTGGCATCGTTGTTAAGCCTGGGGTTTGCCAGTTCAGATCCCAGGTGTAGACTGAGCACCGTTCGTCAGGTCACACTGTGGTGGCATCCCACATAAAATCAGGGAAGATTGGCACAGACATTAGCTCAGGGCCAATCTTCCTTACCAAAAAAAGACAAAAACAAAAAAACAAGAGAGACATGTACTGTTTCTCTTTCAATGCGTCCTGCTCGAAAGACAGGAGAAGAGTATACGGTTGCTCCTCACATCCTCCTTGTTCCCCACCCCTGCCTCCTGGGTGCCAAGGAACTCAGACAGACAGACAGGGCGAGGCTGTGTGTGACATATAGGCAGCTGAAGCCTGACAGACCAGCAGGCCTTGTGGAAGTCATCTCTGGAGACGCTGGCACAGTTGGCATGTAGCCACCTTTGCAGGGGACAATGGCTTTCTCACTCAGCATCCCCGTCCCTGCTGAGGGCTCTGTTCCCATGTGGATTCGAGCACAGATCCAGAGAGTTGGAGGAGAGATGATAGTCTCGCATGCTCCCGGCCTGCTTCCCCCGGTACGGTTGCTTCCTGTGGGCATGCACATGAGCAACACAAAGATCAAACTCGTGGTCAGCTTCTTGGATTTGTTTCCATAGCAAGTACCTCCTGTGGGTGTGATCTCAGTGGTCCTGTGTCTGGGGGCCTGACCATACAGCTGGGTCATCAGCAATGGTGGTCCATGCAACTGTGTAAAGGTTTATTTCAGTAAGTTTTGGGTGGGTGTACTTTATCGGCAGAGTCCTGATCTGAAGTCAGTCCACTGGGCAGAATTTCCTCTTCCACGGGTTATCTGCAATGGACCATCGTTATAGTGGATGGCTGTAGCATTCCAGTGGATTTCCCATCTCAGAGTGGGCTGTTACATCACGACCGTGTTTTCCTGTCATCAGCCAGTGTCACAGGCAGACCCTCCAGGGAGCAGCAGTTTGGGGCACGCACTAGGTGAGGCTGTGCTTCCAGCTAATGTGCAGACAGCCGGCTCTTCGTGAGGATGGCTGAAGCCTCAGGCCAGGTTTGGCCTTTAATTGGAGGTGCCATTTCCATCTCACAGTGGAATTTTCTGGGGTTTGTGCCACTGAGGGGGAATTTAGATCCACCAAGCATCGCTGGAGAATTCAGGACAGTAAAGGCGGGCTGTATGCTCCTCGCAGGAGGGCCCAGCTGTGGGTGTAAGGGAAGCAAACGCAGCTCCAGGGTGCCCAAGGCCACCTCCCCAGTGCAGTAGTAGCCTCCCCAAAGCCAGCAGGTGGGGAAAGTGAGGGGGATTTGCTGCCACAGGAGTCCCTAGGGAGGGGGCTGCTGGTTGTCAGGGAAGGGGGCGGGGCGGCGGGTGGCTCTTCTGAGTCCAAAGAAAATCTGCAAGATCGTGCCAGCTCTGGCTGAAAGCTAGGAGACGAAGAGAAAGGGACAAGGCTGTAGTCTGAGAATAAAGTCATAGATTTAAGCATTTTCATCATTTGAAAAGAATAAATAAGCTAAACATTCAACTCCAGAGTTTTTAAGCCCAAGGATAGTAGATGAGAGGGTATAACAAAGGTAAAGCAGAAAAACAAGGAAATCAACAACTGGTAGAAAAGATCAATGATTCCAAGACCAGGTTCTACAAACACGCATGTGAGCACAGAAACCTCTGAAAATCCTAATATAGAAAAAAAAGAAAGAAAGAAAAGAGGAGGAGAGATCTCAAAAAGCAGAAACGAAAAATGAGACATAAGAACAGATATGGAGGATTTTTATCTGTAAGAGGATACGATAGTACAACTTTGCTAATTTATTTGAAAGTCTCAATGAAATGGATCATTTCGGCAAAAACACAAATTACTAAATTTGTCTCAAAGAGAAATAAAAAAAATTTGTGTTGACCAACAAGCACGGAAGAAAGCAAACCAGTTTCAAAGAAGTGTCTCCCCAAACAAAACCTCTGGGGTCAGCCTGTTGTCACAGCGTGTTCTTTCAAATGTTCCTGGAACAGATACTTCTCACGTTATATAAACTGGTCCAAAGTACGAAAAAGATGGAATACAATCCAATTTATTTCATAAATCTAGCATAGCACTAATAACAAAACCTAAAAAAGGAGTTAGCCGAAAAATAAATCAATTTCAATAATAAATAAAGATCCTGATTAAATATTAGCACACTGAATTCAACAGCACAACAAAAAATGTCAGCTTCTGGGGAGACATGGTCAATTTCACACATTCTTGCCACTTGCCACGGCAAGGATGCCTGCGTTTCCTGTGGCCGAATGACACCTGTGAGGGATGCAGATGCCTCACCCAACGGGGCAGCCCACGGAGCAAGGAACCCCCGCCCCCCAGGAAGAGGACAGACTTGAGTTTGTAGGAGAGTTGACAAGGGGATAAAAAGGAACCTGTCTCCTACATCTGGAAACGGTGCCATGGGGAACTCCACACTTCCCCCAAAAAACCTCCTCGGTGTGCCCCACAAGATCACCAACATTCTCACGCCTGCCACAGAGGGAGCACCAACAGCCAGTGAGCGGAGGAGGCGACATGGGCTGGGTGTGTAGAGGAGAGCCTGTTTCCTGGCCCAGCTCCCCCTCCCAATGCACTTGACAGGGAGAAGGGGGCACACGGGACAAAGAGGCGGAGGTGCCAGCCTGAGCCTGTGCGAGGAAGGCAAGGAGGCGAGATTTAAACTGAACGGAAGATGGACGGGTTCAACTGGGCTGACTGTTAGTAACTAAGTCTGAGGAACCGGAGCGCCACAGACCCAGCGTGCCATCGCGGGGCCAGCAGGGGAGGCAATCCCGAGAGAGTTTGGCTGAAAGAAGCAGCCAACAAACTGGTTATATTTGTCTTCTTTTAATTGTCTGTGTTTGCCTAATTTTCTGCAACACGCTTCTATCACTTTTATAAACAGAAAAAAAAATTACAATTGAAACTGACGCTGTGCGTTGAAGGGAAATGGGAAGTTTGCCATTTAAGGACTGTTTGAAGGAGGCTGTGGTACGTCACCTGGAGAGGATTTTGAGACCACTATTCATCACATATCTAAAGAGGTTTCCTTTGTCACCATCAACTCCATAAAAACGTAAGCTGTAAATAATAATAGCAATACTTGAAGAAAGGATAGGCTTATTCTGTGATCTTGCAGATGCCAGAACAAGGGTCCCTGATTTCCAGCCTCAGGGAGATAGACTCGGTCCCGTGTAAGGACAGCCTCTCCATCCACTGGGGCGGCCCAGCGTGGATGCACTGTCTGCCCGTGTTCTGCACTGAGCGGTATTACCAACTTGTAAAGAGTGGCCTCAGAGGCCCACCCAACTCCAGCGTTCCAGGGTCCTTGCCTACCAGGGCTGGCCTGGAGCTGGCTGTTTAATGCTTAATCCAGCCAAGAAGGGCAAGCCCGCAGCTGGCATCATCGATAAATAGCGTGGACCTGAGGTTGTCTCAAACTCGAGTCGGCGAGTCTGTGTATTTAGGATGCTTACTGCAGATGTGCTGTCCTAAAAAGGTCGCTTGGGGTGGGGTGGGGGCAGATGGAGCATGTTGGGGTATGGAAGGCAGCAGAACCCAGGCTTTAAAGAGCAGACTTCCCTTTCTCTGCACAGAGGGACTGGCATGAGCCCAAGCCCCAGGGCAATGAGAAGGCTCCTCTCTGAAGTGAAGCGAAGGTCCTCTTGTCCCGCCTCAGTAGCCCATGGTCTGGATGGACGCTTGACCCACAGAACCCTAGGGATTGTTCCTTCATCAGCACTGGGAAGACGAGAGCCCTAAGCCACATCTCAAAGCCTTCAGCAAACAGCTGTCTACCAGATCCTGGCCACCTTCCAGTGGAAAGGTCAGTGACACGCGGCCGTGAATGCCACCTCCCCCCAGGAACCACCTCCTCGGGCTTCAGCTTTTCAACTTCCCCAAGCAGGTCCTTCCCCAGTGGTCACATTTGCCCAGGTGACATTGGATTTCAGAGGACGTGGGGCATACAGGCACCGTCTTCTCTCCCTCTGTTCTTTGCAATAGACGGTGAGATCGTTCAGGGAGCCGAGGCAGCTGGGAGGAAGCCGGGCTCCACGTTTGCTGTAAAGGGATGGGTTTGGTTAGCAAAATAGAGCCTGGCTCTACAGGAACACTGCACCACGCCGGCTGACGTTGACCCTGTGAGTTTTCAGCAGCGCTGACTTCCCTAAAGTGTGGTGTGCAGCATTAGGAGGAATCGAGCCACTGGATGCTCCAAGTTGGAGCGTTACAGGGCGACTTCCCCAAAAGGAGGAGGTTAGGCTAACCTGCAGGCTCCTTGACAGTCGCGGAAGCCCTTCACCAGCCCCCGGCGACACGCCCATTCTCAGCTCCTCCAACCTTTCCTCCAGCCCTCCCACAAGCCCGTGCCTTTGTGTGTCCCCCCCACCCTGCTCTGCATCACCCCTCAATAATCCCTTCGATTTTCCTGCACGTCTCCTTGCCCACCCAAGCCACATTTTGCTGCTCCATCCCTGTCCTCTCCAGTGACCTGGGCATGCCTCTCTCCCAGCCCTGATGACACTTGCTTGTCATTACCTGCCTGCCCGTACACTGTGAGCCCCTGGGATCAGTCCTCTGTCTTCTCAGCCCTGCACCTCCGGCACCACGCCTGGCACGCCGCAGCTCAGCCAGCGCTGGCTGACTGGTGGAACAGAGGCACCACACCGTCGTAGCTGCGTTCGCTTTCTTTAATACACGCAGTGGACCTTGTTCTGAAGCCAAGTGACTGCGTTTGGCAGTGCTTAAAACCCTGATTGCGCACTATCCCTTTCCTAACTCTCGCAAGCACGCTCTCTGCCCCATAAATCAATCAGGGCGGACAGGATTATTGTGCACTTTAGTTAATTGCAAACCCAATCAGTTCCCATAAAAAACTGGCATTTTCCATAAAGTTGAAATGGGCCACTGGTTTTGAAAGTGCGTGTGATGTGGTTTCCTGATGGGCCACGGAACTTCAGGGAAATATTTATTGTGCTCTCGAATGACATTCTAGCTATTGTCCGTGTTCCTTTTTATGGCATCATAAAGACGACTTTTTACAGTCAAGCTGGCTGACATCTTCATCCGATGCCCTAATGTGCACATTCACTGAAGGATCGTTTGTGCCAATGAGTAGCATTCAGCAACATTCGACACAGGTTTATTGAGTGCCTGCTCTGAGCAGGGCAATGAGTAATGGGATTTGTCTCCAAAGCTTTCAGATCTGCTAAAAATATTCTCAATTTCACAAGCAGTCAGGACAAAAAAACAGTTTGCTCTAGTCTCCCCTCTGGGGCCCACTGGGTGAAAATGCGCCTAGAGTTGCCCAGAGAAATAAAACGTCCCTTCATGGACCTGCCAGATCTCCAGGAAGCTTGTGTCTCCAGCTGGCTCTGGAGAAACTTGCTCGCTAAATTCTGTGCACAAGCTCTGTCTCTAAGGAGCTGAGCTCTGGGGCATGCTGCCATCCCACCACCCCAGGAGCCCAGAGCCTGGGGGCAGCACAGATGAACCCCCAAGCCCCCTCTCTCCCTGTGTCAAAATTCACAGGCACTTTCAAAGCAGAGGGAACAACACGGTTAGTTAATCTCTTGAGCCCAATTTCTTCACCTGCAAACAGGGGCAATACTGCCTCACGTCCCAGGAAGGTCATTAAAATTAAAAATAATACATTTAAACTACCTAGCATAGTACAAAGTATGTAGTAGATGTCCAAAGGACACTCACCTCTTTGCATGTCTTTGGATTATGCACTGGCCAGATAGGACCCCCACCCCCACCCCCGTCCCAAGCTACCAGGTCGAAGTGGCAGAAAAGGTGGAGAAAAGGAGACAGACAGGGGAGGAGTATATCAGAATCAGGAGACCCAACTGGGTTCAGGGACCAGCCACGCATGGGAGGGGAGGGTAACGGAAGGGTTGACGGTGGAGCCAAGGCTTCTAGCCCAGTGACCGTGTGGATGGTGACACTGTGGACGACAGCCGGGGGAGAGTCACACTTCCTTTGAGAGCTTCTGGCTCTGGCTTTTGCTGTAACCTTGGTCCCACCTCAGTCCCTTCTTCACTCACCAAACTTGCTCCCGCTTATAGCCGCAGTGTTTCCTCCTCCAGGCAGCCTTCCTTACCATTAGAGGGGAAGCAGTCCCCCTCTCCTTTCCTGTCGTGTTGTCACAGCATTCCGTAACCATTGACTCCCTGTTACTTAGGAGCGATGTGCCTGGGTGCCTGGGACAAGCAGGCAGAAGACAGGGACTGAAAAACCGTGAATGAACAAACTGTGCCTGACAGCACCACAGCAGGAAACAGACTCCAACTCGGTGGCTCCAATGGAGGGCCTGTCAATAAGGGAGAGTCTCAGAGTGTGGGTAGGGTAGAGGGAACAAACAAGGGGTACTGAGGCTGAGACAATACCAGGGGAAGCCGTTACCAGCCTGGGGGGCGGGGAGGGAAGTGATGTTACTTACAGGAAGGGAGCAGGCTGGGAATAGAGGCTGCCTTTGCCCATTCGAGGTGCTAGAGCAGGCAGGGGATGGAGGACATGCTGGTCTCCTCTCCTCCACTCTCCTCTCCAGCCTGTGGCTCCTGCTGGCTCCTGCTGTGTGCTGAGTTGTGCCCCTCAAACTCATATGTTGAAATCCCAACCCCAGCTCTTCAGAGTGTGACTGTATCTGGAGATGGGGCCAAAAAAGGTAGTTAAGGTAAAACATGGTCATTCCAGTGGCCCCTAATCCAATATCACTGGGGTTCTTACAAGAAGAGGGAATTTCGACACAGATACGCGGGCGGGGCAGGGGCAATGGACCATGGGAAGACACAGGGAGGAGAAGGCAACGTCAGCTAGCCAAGGAGGGAGGCCTCAGGAGACCCCGACCCTGCCAACACGTTGATCTCAGATTTCCAGCCTCCAGCACTGTGAGCGAAAATAATCTTCTGCTGTCTGAGCCACCCAATCTGTGTTACTTGTTACAGCAGCCCGAGCAAGTTAACACAGCTCCCCAAATGGGATCCAGCAGGCGAAACGATGTGGCCAGGTGGTCCTCAGGGGTCAGCCTCCAGGATCCCAGAGCAGAGCAGAGGAGGGCAGAGCACAGATGGGGGATTGGGCGCGGGGCAAAGGAAGAGTAACCAACACACGGTGAATCCTGAGTTGGTGCTGGATGTTGAATGTGGAGCTCAGAGGAGTGGATCGCGTGCTCAGAACCCAGCCTGACAGTGGAAAGTTAGAGCTGTGGCAGAGTGAACTGCGTCCACCACAGGAGCCAGGTGGTGTCCTGGGAGAGGGGACACCCGGGTGTGAGAGCCTGGGTAGAGAAGAATACAAAATCACTGTGAACCGCCAGCATGGAGAAGCAACACGCAGGCTGGGTTTACCTGTGAGCCCAGAACGCAAACGGTATCAGAGGCTCTCATTCACGGTTCTGAGGACCTGGTGCTCACGGAAGCATGCAAACTGCAGGCACCGTAACCAGGACGGAGGTGCTGACATCCAGTACCTTCCACGTCGGGCCGTGCACTGCATCTCACGTATTTTATCTCATTTTGTAATCCCAAGATTGCTAAGCAAGAATTGAGATCTAATTTGCAGATAGAGACTGAAGCTGCAGAGAGGGCTGTGTATGCCCCAGGAGGGAATCTTGACTTTGTTCCCCAGCACTGGATCCCCAAATAATGAACCTAAGAATCATCTGAGGAGCATTGAAAATGCAGATTCCTGGGCCCTGGGCCAGGAATTCTGATTCTGTGGGCGTGGAGTGGGGTCCCATAATGTGCATGCTGAACAAGCGCCCAGGGATGCAGGCAGTCCTTTGAGTACACTGGCACAGGGAGGAGGAGGCATCGCAGGGCTAGAGCAAGGCCTGACCCCACTGGACTTGCTCGTGTGTCCATGGCCCCAGCCACCGTGTGATGGCTTGGATGTGCTTCGGGCATGGGGTGGGCAGAGCAGCCGCTGGTGAAAGTTGAGCAGAGCAATGCCTGTGGAGGTTGGATTAGCGGAGAGATTCGAGGGGACAGGGAGGCAGAACCGACCCCCCAGGATGTGTCAATTACATGAGGCAGTGAGGGAGGGGGCCCTCGGTGATGGCTTGGCGGATGGCAGCACTAATTACCAAGGTCACTGGCACAGAGCTGAGTGAGCTGGGCAGAGGTCTGGGCTGGAAGCCCTTCCTGGAGGCACCAGGGCACTGGCGTAGGTGACTAGGAAGTGGAGCAGGTCATCTAGGCAGAGTGTAGGCTGGAGGGAAAGGAGTTGCCAAAAGGTATTGAGCAGAATGGTCAGAGGCTAGAGGGAGCACAAAAGCCAAAGGAGGGGAGGGAAGAGCGTCACAGGCTCCTGCAAGGACCGTGGCCTGAAGAGGGTCAGAGCACAGTGAACATTCCACGCAACGCTCAGGAGCCTGTTGCCTCCGGCAGGCCGGACTGCAGTGGGTTAAAGTGGGGCTGGTCGTAACAGCAGCACTGGGATGCGGAAAACCAGGAACATAGGTGCATGTCCGTCGGGGATGCGGTAATAAATTACACTTGGAGGTATTTGTAAATCAGTGGAACAACTGGCAGAAGTTTAAATCAGTGAAGTAGGTCTATATGTGCTGATAGGGAAAGAGCTCAAAGACGCATGAAGTGAAAAAGACAAACTGCAGGGCAAATATATATAATACATAGGTATGACCCAAACGTCTAACAGAGAGAGACAGAAAAAGGAGAGGCGCACCAGTAGACATTTAGCCACGTGCTGAATGGCCAAAAGTGAAGAAAACAATATTTAGCTGAGAAAGAAGTCAAACCCAAGTAGCATCATGTAGAATGGACTTCTGGGATCCAAAAATAAATCTCCAAGTCTACGAAAATTAACTTACAATTACCTTTTTACTATTAAAAATTTAATAACCAAATTGTAAGAGTTTGACGTTACACATCGTAGGTTCATAATTTTTACTCTATATGTAATACACACTAAAGCGAGTAGCAGGCCAGGTTAATTTTTGTCTAGTCCTGTGAGGGTGGAGTGTGCTGATGGTGAAGTTGACACCAAGTCGTTAACTCTCTTTTGCTCTCTCCTCCTCTGCCGTGTGGTAGATTGGACCATTATTCCCTCCTTCCCAGTCTCTCCCTTTGCCATCTGACTCAGCAGAACCTCCCTCCAGAGAGCTCACGCCCCCTGATTGAGCCAGGCCATGCGACCTGCTTCAGCCGACGGCATGTCAGCAAACACAGCATGAGCAGAGGCTTTAAATGAGCTCCTTTGCTCTCATGCTTAAAATTACAGTCATAGCTTCGTTTCTGAATTTGAATGTCCAGGCCCAATAATAATAATAACTCCAAATTTGTTTTAATATCAACCCTTCTCTCCTCCCCACACTGGCCTGGCTGCTGTGGAGGGAGAAAGGGGGCACATGACCCTTCTTTTTGTCCTCTTGTCCAGTGTTTCTGTCTTTCCTCCGGGTCATCGCTGGTTAATCACCTTCCTAGGCAAAGTCTACTAGCAGACAACGGCCTAGACCCATTTTCCTAGTGGTGTTGCCCAACTGCCATCACGCCTGCCCTCTACAACTCCCAGGATAGGACTCAGACCTCAGTCCTCAGTGTCCTCAAACCTAGGAGACAATGGGATTTCCAAGGGTCACTCTAAGGTCTGCTGTCTCTGGGCGAGGCTTGAGGTAGGGGAACGCCATGCTCCCAAAGCCCTTCTAGGCCCCTCCCCGCAGTCCTCCACATGGGACTCGCCACCCTCCTACCTCCTCAGCATGGTCACTGAGGGGCTCAGGAGTCTGAAATCACTCCCGAATACCTGCTTTGACAATCGGTGATACAACTGAGCACCTCCCTTTGTCATGGAGTGTCCCTGGCAGCTGGAGTCTCTGTAGAGACATCATTTGTAACACCCTGTTGTTCACACCACATCCAGGAGCCTTGGGTGACGTTAGTAATGATGTCCTCTCCCTTTGTCCTCTACTCTTTTTGTTTTGAAGACATTTATTTCTATCGCACCTCCCTCCTGACCATCTCTGGGATCCAGGAAACCATTCCTTCCCACCTATTGAAAGTTTAGGCGTCATTATCTCTCAACCCAAAACTTTTCTCTGCTTCCGGGTCTGATTCCCCACCCCAAGTCCCGCCTCCTGCCACCAGCCAATTCTTCTCCTTGGTTTCAAGACCTTCAGTGGCTCCCCACTGTCTAAGAAATGAAGTCCAAGCTTCTAAGCACTTCATGGGCTAGCCTCAGCCTCTTCCCTCCACAGTCCTTTATGTCCCAGGCACAAGAACTCACCCTCTCTGACTGAAGTGTGCCTCTCGGACCTCAGTAACTTTGCACCGCTGTTCTGTAAACCCAGAAGGCCCCACCCAAAGTCCATTCCTTCTAGTCAGCCCCAACTTGAATGGCATGCTCTTTGAAAATCTCCAAGTTGTAAGGTAGGTTGTCTTGGTGGGCTCCCAGGATAATTTTTACATCCCTCCAGCATCGTCTTTATCTCACCGTAAGGCGACTGTTTGTTAAACACGTCAATCTCCCCCTCTGGGCTGTGGAAAGTCCAGGCTTGGAGGCCCACACTGCATCATCTCTACATGCCTGAGATCTAGCCCAGTGCCTGGTGGCAAATACATTTTATTTGGAAGGGTAGCTTGATGGATGAACAGATATATGACTGGATGGATCATTTCTCATAGTCACCTGCAATCTTTTTAGAAGACACAAATAAAGAAAAGATGATGACAATTCAACAATAAAGATGATAAACCAGCTCCTGGACAAGCATCCTCTATGCAGTGGGGTGGGGAGTCCCCACTCCATGAAAACCACAGTTCTTGTCAAACCCCCTGCAACTGGCAGAGGTCACCTGTGGGAGTCTGCTCTCCAATATCTGTCCCCAGTAGCACTGCGGACACCAGCCCATGGACACAACCCGCTTGCCACGCCTCCTCCCTGCCTCTAGGACTGTCCCCAGCAGTCCCTGCCTGTCTCCTGGCCCTTCGCTTCTTCAGATGGTCATCCCTGCAGGAGCTACTCCAGGGCCTGAGTCTGTCATGACAACAGCAGTAAGACATGGAGGTGGTGTCCTAGGTGCCACCACTCACCCTGGAGGTGAATCATATTGGCCAGCTGAGCAGACCCAGATCTGGTGTCTGAGATGCAGACTTCCCACCACTCTTGTCCGGTGGATTTTTTGAAGCTTTTTGGACAATTAAATTCTTTCTTCAAATAGGAGCCTATTATGTCAGATCTTTACAAGGTGTGACTCTGGTTGAAGCTGGGTTGGGTTGCCCAGATCCGTCCTGCTCAGCAGCCACTCTCGCCCTGAGACATCTTCACCAGGCCACATGGCTTTATGGCATATGGTCTAAAGTCCACTGGCTTCATCCTCAGTCTGGCCTTGGGCCTTGACCTGCACCCACCCACTGGAACTGTTCAGGCATCCTTCCTGCTGTCCCAGACCCCTTCAGTCCTACACTGAACTCCAATAACGTAGCTGGGCCCCAGAGGCCCCACCCACCCCCAGCAAGCTCCTCACCTCATGACACTAGGCCCTACTGTGAAAGGAGAGATGGCCCAGAATTACAACCCAACTTGAAGGCTTCTGCGGCCAAGCCCTTCCCCATCTCATTGCAAGACCTCGTTGTTTTGCTTTTACTGATTCAACTCATCCAGAACCCTGATATTCTTTGGGGGAACACCCCCCTCCATTCTTATACCCATTCCATATCATTTGGATGAGGCTGACTCCATCTTTCCCCATCTCAACAAGCAGACACCAGACCCAAGCCGAATCAGTTGAAGCATACGTCCCTGTAGCCACGGTGAGTGGCTCAGGGATGGATAAGTGGTCCAACCAACCACTGAGATTCAGTTCTGGGACTTTTGCCAGAGCTTTCTTTCAATATAAATTTCTTTCAATATAAACTGAAAGAAAGCTATATGAAGAAGTCACTGCTGCTGGTGGCCACTGTGTGAGGAAAGCCTGTCCAACAATGGAGTCACAAAAAGAAAAGAGGAAA